TCCTTTGGCTTCTTCCAACCCCAAAGGAAGTGGAGTGACCTTTCCGTCAACCTTCTTCACCGGAATGGAAAAAACTCCCACCATGAAGTACTTGGCCTTTTTTCTTCGATCAACACCTGGTCGAAATGGTCCACATATGTCCACGCTCAGCGTGAGAGCATCAGGCCTCTGCACCTTCCTATGAGGACGATTCTTTCCACTTCCCTGAAGACAGACTGGACATTCACGGGAATACGGAAGATGATCATTTGCCACATGCTGCTTCCATTGCTCAGATGTCAACTTTGCCACCTTGTGGTCCACATCCTTGAGCTCCTCATCCTCGACCTGCCCAATCTGCAGAAGGATGCCTTTCGTGATTTCAATCTTGAAGTCCAACGGCCAAGCAGCCCAGGAACGACTCTCTGCAGTCTTCTCCCCCAAACTGCTTGTCACGGCCGGGAGATCACCTGGACGACGATGGTCAGTCAGTCCCTCCAACTGATGAAGATATCGAATGTTCGTCCCTAAGGTGGTCGGTTTTCTTCTTGGATGGCCCAGAGCTCCCAAGTCCAGCCGTACCTCACGCATGCCGAACTTCTTGATGAAGGTTTGCCACTCTGGCCAGGCAAAGAACGACGGGTACTCGACCGGATCATTTTCACTCTTGTACTCCTCTGGGTCTCTTGGATGCTCCTTCATGAACAGCACTTCCCTGGGTCGAGCTGACGAAGCCAGTGAATACAGCCACAACTGCCTCATCCACAACACAGCATCATTCCAAGCCAGCTCACGCAGCGTATCAGTCAAGGAGTCCAAGGCAAAGCGCTGAGGTCCACTCCTGGCCCGTAACGGTGGCGGTCCAGGTTGTCGAAATCTCAACTTGGAAACCGTGCGACAAGCTGCGCCACCCAGAAGAGCGTCAACAGTGCCTTTCTCACATAGCTCTGCTAGGAAGCTTGTCAACTGATCTGAGAGAAGGTCTTGGGAAGGATCAACCAGCTTGTCAATGCACAGCACCGACCTTGACGACGTCTCCAGCCTCTTGCGCCACCATGCTTGATCCGGGCCAGAAAACAAATGCACAATCACCGACTTGCTGGAAAAAAGACGCTTTCGCTGATGTCTATTCAAAGGCACCTGCTCCCCTGACCATCTCCCCGAAGGTACCACCCTCGCCAGCAGCTCATCCGGGACCTCAGGCCACAGCTGTCTCAGATCACGCAGCCACCGCCAAATGCTAGGAGACAAATCACCCGGATCACCAGCACGTAGAGCGTTGACTCGACGAACCATCTCCCTCTCTTGGTCCTCCAGCTCCTGAATCATTCGTTGTGCCGTCTTCAAATCCACTGTCGGGCACCCCGCCTCCAGAAGCACTTCAACTCTCACACCACTAGAGTCCACCATCTCGAACTCCTCGCCCTCCCAAGTGACCTTGTACCCCAACTTCACGACCTTCCCAAGCGGAACGATCATTTGGGTATCAAAATCTGTCACCAGCGTGCCCGTCTCCTGGATCTGTCGAAGGGTCGTTACTCCCGCCGCCAGCTCCACCTGAATTGGGACTGCCTTGTCAAACTCCACCTTGGACTTGGCTGGACGTAGGATGTGAGTTGCTCCACCATCCAAAAGGGCACGATTGAAACCCTTTCCCCTGTTGACAGCGCATACTGTGACCGCCCTCACGGCCGGCCTCAAAGACTTTAACAACTGCACGGCTTCCTTCACAAGTGCTTCTGCTGGAGGAGGATCTAAATCCGAAGGCGGTAGAAAGGTCCCTGCACCTGCTGACGAAGACGAACCTTGCTCTCCCGACTTGGATGCGGCTTCCTTCACCTTCAAGTCCTCCGTGGTCTCCTTTTTCACACGTGGTGCCTCCTTCACCGGACACTCTGACTTCATGTGCTGTGAAGACCCACAATTCCAGCATCTACCTTGCTTTGACACTCCTTTCCACTCATGTGGGAAAGAACACTTCTGGCCTTTTTTGCATCCAGAATCTGAAAGGAAATATCTGCAGACAGGTTTTTCTCCAGGGCCCGGCTTACCATCACCCTTGGTGTTCTTTGGCTCCGGTTTTCCACCCTTTCCATCCTTGTTCTCCTTGAAGTCCTTGCCATCAGCCGCCTCTTTGGATTTGTCCTTGGCATCACGCTTCGGATGGTCATCTTTGTGAACTTGAGCGTCCCCATCCAAAGCCCTCACCTTGACACTCTCTTTCAGAGGCAGCCACGAACCACCATGGAAAACCGCTTCACCTTCTGCTAGCAACGATTCTGAGAATTGGTGGATGCCCTGCTCCGTAGGTGCAGTGTCCACACGAAGAGCTGCACGTGTCACTTGAAGCCTGAACGCCACCTGAGGCGAATGCTTCCCCAAACCAGCTGCGAAGCGATCCAACGTGGCCAAGAGAAGAACTGGATCAGGGGGCTGAATTCCAAGTTCCTGCACTCTGGTCAACCACCTCCTCCATGCCCTCAGAGCCACCATCCACTCGCTAAGCGGCGCCGGCACTTTTTGGTCAACCAACTGCTTCAGTAAGGTTGTCCTTTCTCCCAAGCCTCCAGGCTGGTACACACGCAAGATCTTGAACATGATCCCAATGGAGCTTACCTCACGCTGGGCCACCAACTCCGACCTCAAAGACTCTGGCAGTGCCTTGAGGAGTGCAACTGAGCCACGTTGTTCAATTCGAAGCCAAGGTGCAACTTGAAATGCAGGAGGCGACACTGGATTGAGTCGAAGGCGCTCCATTGGCTCTGAACCCAACCACACACGGTAAAGCGCCCCCGCCACGCGAAGCACCTCGTCCCACCAAAACGATGAGCTCGATGACATGTCCCTCAAAAATGGACCAATGGTGGTGATCCAATCTCCAGCTAAAAGGGGGCCAACCTCCGACTCCGAAAGCTCAGGTAAGGCGGGAAGGTCAACCGCACGGACCGATTCTTGTTGAGCCATCAACCCACCGATCCAAGCTGGAATCTGACCCATCGGCAAACCACCGGCACCTCCTCCACCAGGTGGACCACCAGGACCTCCTCCAGGAAACCCGCCAGGTAAACCACCACCCGGAAAATCTCCTGGTCCACCGCGACCACCCGGAAAACCTCCTGGTCCACCGCCTCCAAAAGGAAACCCGCCAGGAAAGCCTCCACCAGGAAAACCTCCAGGACCATCACCATGCGGAAACGGCGCACCACCAGGTTGATTTACTCCCGAACCAGAGGGTTGTCCACTATCTCCTCTACCAGACTGATCACCTGCTTGACCGTTGGCACCTCCTTGAGCTGAACCTCCAGCCTCGCTTCCACCAGGTTGCCCTCCAAGTCCCCCAGCAGGATCCCCTGCAGGTTGGCTAGCACACCCTTGAGGTTCCGGACGAAGTTGCGTGGTCTCCATCTGAGCTTGCGAGCTTCGGCCACTCACTTGATCAGCCACTGCACGTCCCGATCCCTCCGCGACGAAACCGGCACTCCCCTGAACACCAGCCATACCGCCACGATCAAAAGCACCTGGTGAAATCATCGAACCAGAGAAGCCTCCACCAGAAACCATATTAAACAGCTCCATGAGGTTGCCCCGAGGAAGATGCATCTGACTACCCAACCACCCAGACTCCGTTCTTGAAGGTGGAAAAACGCCGTTTCGATCACCTGGCATAGAGAGCGGACCCAGCAAACCCCGGTCTTGCTGTTGGAACATGGGGCCCCACATGGACTTCACCGCCTCAAACATCGGCCCCAAAGGATTCCTCATTGGTCCTTGCTGTTCCCCCAACAAGCTTCCCATGTGTGGCTGCTGGAAACCAAATTGCCCATGTGCTTGCCCCCAATTTCCATGACCAGAGGCGAACATCTCTCTTTCGGACCAAAGCTTCGCATTTTCTTGTAGTAGTCCTTGCATCATCATTCGGACTGCTTCTTGAGACTCACGTGGAGGACTTACCACAGGTGCCGCCACATGTTGAACCGGCTCTGGAACCTCGCTGGGCAGGTGCGAAGGTCTGCAAGCTCTGAGGATCGCTTCCTCTCTCGCTGACTCGCTCCAGAAAGGATTGACCTGAACCGAGGGGCCGAGAGCCACCGGCTGGCCTTGCGGCCTCACAAGAGCTCCATGCTCCGGTCGGATGTCCTCTATGGCTCTAGGACCACCCGACTCGGGCGTCTTTTCAGACGCATTCTCCGACATGGCTTTCAAAGCGCCGTGGAGCCGTCTCTTGGGCTCATAACCCACCAGAAACTGAAATCGCGTTTCCCTTTTCTTCGCTTGACACGAAAGGGCTTCATTGTTCATGCCCAATCCTCAACAACCTTCACAATCATTCATTCACACATTTCAACTCATGGAATTAGGGATTCTGCTATAATATATTTGATTTGATTGCAACCAATGGGTATATATACATATCATGTCATATCTTATATCTAAGGTTGGAATAGATTGCAACCAACGGATATATCATCATGTCATATCTTTAAAAGTACTTTAGCACATTGCAGGCTAATATATATATATATATATCATTACATGTCGTATCTTATATAAGGTTGAATAGATTGCAACCAATGGATATATCATCACGTCGCAATATGTCACATCTTATTATGTTTCATTACAGCATGCGTTGTTTCGCATTGCAGTGACGGGCGACTGAAAAAATTGCACTAGTCCATCCATGGGTCCACCAAGCTTCACAGGCCAACCTGTTTTGGCAACCCTAATCCGCCTAATCTGGATACATCAAGTCACAAGCTCGCAAAAGAGAAAAACATGGTAGTTGTTGATCATGAAAGACATTCATAGATTCATAGCTCCGTTCAAAACCCGTTTGTAAGCTACTTTGGGCATCCAAATCCATCCTGTGGAAGAGACCACTTTGTAGAACTACAAAATGGTGAGTTTATCAGCTCAGATCATGTGTCTAACCTGGTCAGGTCGCTTCGTTTGTCCGGTGATCTACATGTCCGATGCAGTCTTGGACTTCCACGCTGCCGGGCCAAGATCACCGCCCGGGCCTTCTGAAGCTCTTCTGCGGAGGCATCTCGGTCGATGTCCAGGATTACCTGAGACCCCCATCCATTCACTGGTCAAGGGTTCACGCCCCGATGACCATGATATGATGGTCCAACTTCAGTCCGCTGCCCCTGAATCCTTCAAATCCAGATGTGAAGACCACGCACATGAAGTATCATGAAGTCATGGCTTCAAAACGCCGTCGCCATGAGCTCCCCCCAATCTTCGTCGACCTTGAAGCCGTGGCCCCTGGTGGCGCCTCTGAGACACTCCGGTCTTTGAGCGCTTTTTGACCCTCCGTATCCCTCTGTTGAACCGACGTCCAAACAGGTCAGTCTGCATTTTGAACAGTGAAAAGAAGTCTGCTTCTTCAGTACGTGACCTCTTTGGAGTCCCATCCAGTGACCGTTTTGAGTCGAGGGCCCGGCCCTTAAGGACTGTTCTTTTTTGTGACCGAACCAACTTTGATATCAAGTTCGGTCACGAAACGCAAGAACCAGGAATGTTGCATTGCTTGCGGCCGAAGCAGCGTAGGGATTTCCCGCCGTACCTGTCGATCGGCCGATCTGGCATCCGCACGACGAAGAATCCGCTCCACGGGGGATCTGCGAACGACGCGACGCCCGGTGTCCAGCAGGTGCTGTCGACTGCGTCGACGACCTCCATCGACTTGATCGGGGACGATCGAGCGCCGCTGAAAGCGCCTGTGAGGACTTTGGTTCGGGTGAGTTGGGTGAGACCCCACAACTCACAACAAAATCAAGAGGAAAAATGGACGGACCGAAGGGATGGCTGATTGCCTGAAGGTATTGTGTGTTGATCTTCGGTAGGGGTCCACTCGGACTCACTTGGCATACTTTGACTCTGACTTCAACACGTTCAACTGTAGGCTTGGGATTTCATGGGTTGTCAAAGGTTGTGTTCTTCTATAGGAGCTTCCCCAAGGTTTCATGTCCCATGAAAATGGCTTTGAGTAAGGCATTTCGAAAGGCTGTTCTCCTGGGAGCTTCCGAGTGCTTTTAGCCTCGCCTGCCATCCGCTGTTCGAGGTCAACCACACCGGCGCTGTGGAAAAAGGCAGGTAACTTGGCATGAAGTGCTTTTGTGAGAACCAAACATCCAAGTCCATGCAAGGGAGGGCAAAGGCAAAAGAACACATTAATAATGAAAAATCATGAATCATAAATGCATAAGGCCTTGAGGAATCCAAAATCCTGCTTTTTGTTCGGGAAAAAAAAACAGGGGATGCCGGAGGACAAACCAACAACTTGAGGGAACATATGCAGTATTGGGATGAGTCCCTAGTAGCGTTCTTTGCTCCTAGTAACTAGTAGCGATGCCAGGAGCCCCTAGTAGCGTTCTTTGTTCCTAGTAGTAAGGCCA